TAATTATTAAAAAAGTATAGATCTCGGTATCGTATTGGCGATACTTGCCCTGTATTTTCTTGGTATTGGATCGATACCAAATCTTGTGGTACCACTACTATAGACAGCATGACAGAGCACTCACAGAAATGCACACTGCCTTTCAAATCTCTACTTAGGAAGTAAAAGTTGGAAAGAGGAAGCAAAAGACATGTGGAAGAGGTTCTACAAGGGTTCTACAAGGCCATGGGAAATGGTCGGTATTTTTCTGGGTGTAGGAGCTGTGGCCACGACCATTGCGTAATAGCTGAAGAGAAATCCAGTAATGAGGCCCACTGAGATGGAGGTGAGATGGAGAAGGGACTGGACTGGCCATCTGGCATCCCAGGTATTGTTGGGATGGAGCAGCAAAATTTATTGCAGGGGACCCCAAAAGTCCAGGGTCAATTTTTAATCCCAGTCCAGTCCTGGATGGAGACAAAACTCACCACTGTAATACACAACTGACATGAGTACCAATGGAAAACCCACAGTATCTGCACCATCAAATGAACTAATGGGCCAAATACAGGCTCTGCAACGTACCTCTTCGGCTTCAGCATAAACCAAATATAATGCTGTGTTAATCTACACAGACAGATATTCTTGGAAGATATTTGTAGGACTCCTAACAGAAGACCCAGCAGGTTTATCCAATAATAAATATTGTTATTGATAATAATATTAAAACAGAAAGTGAACCAAAACGACTTTTTGCATCTACAGTTGTGATCAAAAGTTTGCGTACACTTATCACAAACGTGTTTGTCATGACAGTTTTGGGCTTCCAATGAATTCCTAGAGGCCTGTATCACGAAGCCAGATTACTTGCTTAGCCAGATAAACGGTTGGATTTAAGGTAGCCCAGGCTAAATGTAACCGAACAAAGATAAAGTCCATTTAAATCTGACAAGTTATCTAGCTCACCAGCAAATCTTGCTGCGTGATTCGGGCCCCAGGTATGAGTGTTATCAGTACTGCAGTTATTCCCTTCCACTTATTCCATGTATTACTGCTGTTGTAATACGACTTCACTGTGGATCAGTCATACAACGTAACCAATCTTATGACTTTCCTGGGATCATATCTGGATTTTTTTGTAAGATTAACAGCCATCAGCAGGCTGCTGTATAAATGACTTTAGGTAAATATGGATACAAGTTTCTCACAGTACATAACCCCGGGCCAGATATAACAAATCAGAATAGTGCTGATTTCACATTATATCTCTTTATTAAGTTGATATTTAGATAATGAAAATATAATTTTGAATGTTTCATATTTTTAACATTTCTTTCATAATCTCTCCACCAAATCCTTATTAGAAACAGAATCAATTCTAGTGAGGAGTTTGAAACTAGGGCTCTAAGGTGTGTATGGCAGGTCTGAATGGTTCTTAGCAAATCACGCAATCGATGATGTGGACCAGGACATCCTTTTGATTCCTTATCGGTTTCAAATTATTGGTATATTCTCAGCCCCAGTTATGGAAGCACATTAGTTGCCCAGTTGAAGCCCACACATATTTATTACAGACTATTTTTTCTATCCTTTTAGCCAAGTCATCACGTTAGACCTGCACATTATATTTACTCACCAGTAGGTATCACTACTGTACACCGTGTTAAATGAGGTTCCGCGTGATGAACCTTTTGGCAGATCAGTGGGCCTCAGGGCTTTGCATGTGCGTGTATCTGAATAGTGATGGAGAAGGGAGGCTTTCTGAAGCACTGAGCCATTCTAGTCCATTGATTCTTGGAGAACAAGACAACCCTCAAAGCGAGACTGTAGCAGACATGCATAATACTCGTCTTGGAGCTTCAGTTTCAAAGGTAACATCACTGCTCCGTGGCACCAATGAGGCAGTTCAGAGCCTAAAGGGAGCAGATACTCTGACAGAGCTCTCACACTGCCAGTTTTTATGCAGTGACCAGTCAGCATCCAGTTGCAGTGGCTTCTTGGAACCTCCCAGTGATCTAACTCAAGTGCACAATGGATTTTGTATGTTGGGCCTTATGAATGTAATGTCTCTGCTCCCCCAATCTCCTTCTTTTCTATACTAATTTTGCATGTGTGCAGATATGGGCAGTATTTCAATTAAATGTATTTATAATATTTATTTAATTATTTTTAATGTATTTTGTAATTTGTATTTTGCTGGATGGAAAAAATTAGATATAATTTGTAACAAAATATTTTGAAAGATTGTATATATTTAAAATACTTAACATGCTTAATAAAATATGTCATTTTATTTATTTATTTTCTACCACGTTAAGAACCTTCATCACCAGGCTTACTTTTAAATATAGTCTATTACTGTATTTTATGAAAATAAAACGCGTGACACATCCTGTTGGGACCAGCTTGCTCCTTGTGAACTTTGTTTTTTTTTTGTTGACCAGTAATTCAAGGAGAAGACGCTTTGGTGCAAGTATGTGGTGAAATATACTATCAGATATTGCTCACTGAATGTCATTATAGGACTGAAAAAAACAGCAATTAGCAAACAGCAGTGCTGTGTTCTAGAATTTCTGAATGAACTTGCTAGCCTGCTAGTGGCATTCTAGTTAATTTCAATAGGCATGCTTAGGCAGTGGAGTACTGTGGTTTGTCATATATGAATAGAATAGAATAGAACAGAATGCCCGTTATTGTCATTAAACGAATGTGCAATGAATTTAGGTATGTCCCCTGAAATAGATTCAACACAACACTATCTTAGCTCTGCATACACATACAAAGTAAGAACACAAGCAATACAGACCAGTAAACTTTGAGTGTCTCTTTGTGCATACAAATATACAAGTTGGGAGTATATAAATAGCACTGGAGTGGTTCTATTTACAATAATTACAATGAGTCCCTGAAATATTGCACTTTTGCCCCATTGATGCCCTGAACAATTGTTTAACTGATCTCAGTTTTTTGCTTGGGAAAAGATCAGGATTTTATTTGGTAGGCAAACCAGACCTTACATATGACAACAATGACTAAGCTGGAGCTCTCAGGTGTAACCTGGCAAGACATGAAGGCTGGGAACAAGGTGAATAACAAGGTGATCAGTGACCTCTGCTGGCCAAACGGGGACAAGACGGAGGCAGATCATGACACTTACATAACTCCTTTTTACTGTGACCATCACATATAATTTATAAAACCTGTAGGAGTGCAGGCCATTTTGTTTGATTTGCCTTTCTCTCCTGTTTTGGTTAGATAGGGAGTGAGTTTAAGTCCAGTTCAATTGCCTCATCTCAGATTAGAGACAAGGTGTGGAGCCACTGAATGGATTAGGATTTAGGTTTGCCGACCACTGGTCTGAATATTAGAGATTATCTCCTTTTTAATGTTGTTCTTTATTTTTTACTCTTGACAAGGGTGTGAGTGAAAATTTGGTGGAATGAAACTGTGCATCAATCCTGGATAGAAGTAGATCTGGATCTGGTGAAACAGGAATCATCTTGGAGCCGTGTGTGTTTGCATGTGTGTGGGCACGCGTGTCACAGAAAGGGGTACGTGCCAACGTGTGTGTGCACGTGTGTCGATGAGGGGGGTACGTGTTGATATATGTGTGCGTGTGTGTGGGCACACGTGTTGCTGAGGGGGGATACATGTCGACGCGCATGTGTGTGTGTGTGTAGTTGAACTGCTTATACACACTTAAATTATGCCCCATGCCATAATGTAACTTCAGCATGCCATGACGGAGCTGTTTGCCATGACGGAGGTTTATCATGGTTCAGAACTAACATTTGCATCCTGCCATCTTAGGAATCTACAAAGTGCCACTTTAGTCCACAATATGTATGAACGTTACTGAGTATTAATTCATTAAAATACATGCTGGTAGCCAGCTAGTCACTTATCATTGTGTTACAATGTTTATATTTGTTCACCTGTGACTGTAATACGTGGATTATTTCATCAGAATAATCCAAGCTCGTTCTAGTTTGTTCTTTGCTTGTGTAATCATTTATGTTGTATATAAAACACTTAATAGCTGCATTATAGAAAAAAAAATCAGTAATAAACCAATAAAATGAAATTTGTTCAAAGGTTTTATTTTATTAACAAAAAATAAATTATATACATATTGAAATATAAAACTTAGAATAAATAATAAATTAATTTGACATTTCCTTGCTGGAGTTGTCGCTGCCGCATGCCACGATAATACACATATTCCACAGGCTGTATCTTCAGGACAGAAAAGCTTCATCCAACACTGGCCATGACACATAGTCCACACACTGTTGTCTGACACCCTGACACATCTGGGGAAACATCTATGGAAGATGACAACAAGACAGTTATTCTCTAAGTGTTCAGGAGAGATGCAATGGACACAGAGACTATTGTAGACTGAAATGCATAGACAGTGTTAAATACATTAAATGCATGCTAGGATGTACAGTACTGTGCAAAAGTCTTAGGCAGTCCAAGAAATGTTTAAAGCTGTTTATCTGGGTAGCAAGTGTAATTTAACATTAGAACATGTGCAAATTAAGAGTAACACAATAAAAACTAGTAATAATTTCTATATATTCTATAATAATGGCTAGATGAACGCCGCTTCAGTTCCCAAACCTCTCCTCAGGGGCACCTCAGCCGTTCCACGATTTTGTTAAATTTCACCAACAGCTCTATTAAATAATTAAATAAATTGGTTTAAAAAGTCAGTGACAGATTGACTCGCTGTATGAGGTCGGCTAGTGGCCAAGTCAAAACATACATGGCTGCACTGGACGGTCGCTGCAAATACTGGGGTGATTTTAGCAGAGGTTCTGAAATGGCTCAGCTGACACACTTTGACAGGCATAATATCATAGTTTTACACCAACACGAGGATAATCTAAACATCATTTTCTTTGCCTGCCTATGACTTTTGCACAGTACTGTATATCGTTGTTTTGTTACGTTACACACATTTGAGAACACTATACATTATAGTATGATCTAGTTATTTTGAAGTAATGAGGCATTCATACCTGATCAAAGCAAGCTTCTCCCATCAGCATGTGGCCGTCCATCTGCTGAGGGCTGTTCTGGCTTGAGGGTCCTGCCTGGTAGCGTGAGTCACTGAACTGGGAGATTCCCAGCATCTGCTCTGGCTCCCACTGTCTTGGTATGGAGCTGTACTGGTAGCAGTCCTGGAACTCGGGTGAGCCCAGTAAGGTATTATTTTCCGTCGGATGGAACTGGGTGTTTTCCGTGTGACCCAGCTGGCCCGACAGGTGGTTGATATAGCGGATGGCGAGACGCAGGGTCTCGATTTTGGTCAGGGTCTGTCCGGCGGGGGCCTCAGAGGGGGGCAGGTAGGTCCGGAGGTGGTGCAGCGCCTTGGTCAGGTCCCTCATCCTCAGCTTCTCCCTTTCACTGGCGCTCTGCCGTTTTCTCCCTGGATACTTCGACCTGGACTTCCTCTTCTCCTGAGCCGGAGGCACTGGCTTCCTTTCTGCGGCTCCCTGGAGGTCTGCGGCCTCCTGTGCTGCTCCCCAGAGGAGCGGTGAGGGAGAAAAGCAGCCCGAGTCTACGGACGAGGCAGGGGACAGGCTGCTGCAGGCGCTGTAGTAGCCAGAATCGGATGCTGCACTGGGAGGTTCCAAGAAGCCACTGCAACTGGATGCTGACTGGTCACTGCATAAAAACTGGCAGAAAACTGTGTCCATGGTCACGATGCTGCTTCGGCTTGGAGATGCTCTGCGTCTGGCTGTGTCGTGTAGACTGACGAGTTGAGGGCTGCTTCTGAATTTATCCTGGGTGAGGTGTGACGTTACACCTTCCTGGACTGCTGGGTGACTTCAAAGGCCCACAGGAGAGTTCGCACTGAAGGGGGGGTCCCCTTTCCCGGACCAAGGTGTCAGAGCACAGCTGCAGAAGATAAAACTGTAGCAGAATGTGACCAACTTAAGACCAGCTACGGGATTAAAAAGTTAGAGCGTATTCTGCCCGCTGACTATTTCACAGAGACCTGCACAGCCATTAAAAAGATCTTTAAAGAACATATAACTCTAATTAGTTTGCTGTTTTAATTACTGGCCATTGGTAGGTATGTCCATGCCCTGTTTGGCTTGTGTCCCCCTCCCAGAGCAGTAGAAGTGTGCCTGCTGGAAGGTGTGACAGTTTCACACCCTGACGTCATTAAATTCTTAAGGTCTAAGTGTTGCTTTGGGAAATGGAGAAACAGCTTTAAGGATGCATTACATCTGTAATTACAATTCTTGGTTAAAAAAATAAGCCACGGGGTCAGTCAACTTGCATGCAGCATTTTCATCCTGCATTAAAGTTTATGGTTGTATTTATTTTTAAGAATCAGAACTTTCTACAGCATAAAACCATAAAAATACTGTATGCAGTATGTATGCCGTAATGCATAAACGCCTCCTAAATTTTTAACTGAATCCTAATTGGTATTAAATTATTCCTTCTCAACCCCAAAGATAATGGTGTATGTAGATCCTGGCAAATATCATGGGATACCAGCCTCCCTGCTCTGGCAATTTATTTTGTGAGAAATGGTGCGACCACTCATAACACGAAAAGGTTTCTGCAAGATCAAGGTCTCCTGAATACACACAGTTAAATGTTGTTTGAGACTGTCTTTGAACAGGCAGAACTGGAGTAAACTAGTTAGCACATGGATCTGAACCATTAGGACTAGTTCACATGTTGGGTGGATGTTTAATGAGTAACTAGGTTACCTTGTCTGAATAACATTAACTTTTAGAAACAAGCAGGTCTCAGAACTTGGAGGTTAAGAGTCTTTGATTTTTTTCCCTCTGACGGTCATACATGGAAAGCAAAAGCAATAGAAAAGTGATGTGAGCACTGAGAGTCGCGTCCTCATGGTGCCCCCCCCCACTAGAGGTGCTAAGTGACACCTCAGTAACCCCCAACACTGCACTTGTGGATTGCACCAGTGGTGGAATTGGTCTGGAGCGGATCTTCCCACAGACTGGTGTGTTATATTTTACTCCTGGTTTTAAGCAGATCAGTGCTACTGGGTTGGATGTGTGGGTGCAAGCATACACACACACACACACACACACACACACACACACACAGTCGTGTAATCATATCTTTTTGGGGACCGCTCATTCATTTCTATGGGAAAAATGCTAATGCTAACTATGACAGCCTTAACCCCTACCCAGCCCTAACCATAACCATAAGTAACCTAACAAAATACAAGAGCTTTTGCATTTTTAGTTTTTCCATTGCAGTCACAGATTTTTATAAAATAGCGTTTTCCCAAGAAACTGGTCCCCATAAGGCAAAAAAAAATGGGTATTCATCACGTTGTGGGGAGATTTAGTACATATGCACACACAAATTGCTGCCTATATAGTATATATATTTTATTGTGTTATATACAAAGCTACTAGTGAGATGTAGTTGTCTATTTCGAGGTGAGTGCATGTGTGGATTGAGTGACAATGACAGATTTATTTGTCTGTTTTTTTTGGTTTGTGATACTCTAGAAACAAAATGATTTGATCGCGGAATTGAATTACAGTTGTTATTATGTTGATATGTAAAGCCACAAAGATTTACTGATGTTTTTGAAGTTACATACTGTTTCATCTTAACTGATTTCTGGTATTTTTATAAATAAGTCTACTAATGACTAATACTAGTCAGGGTAATGTGTGGCTTATTACAGGCAGAAGAGAGACTGCAATTTGCCTAAATGCATGTGTGTGGACCTTGGGAGGAAACCCCACCAGGAGAACATGCAAAATCTGCACTAAAGCTGGATCCATACCAGAATTTTGACTTTGATACCAATTTTGGTACCTCAGTATCAATACTAAATTGATACTGCAAAACATTACATTTATGTATTATGGATTAAACCAACAGCAACAGCCTGTAACACAGTTTTAACATCAGTGAAATATGCATAGATTAATTAAATTCCATTCAATGCATAGATTCTGATATTAATTTGGCCTCAGCTATTACAAAACCTCATTAATAACACACTGATGTTACGTTCATACTTGTGTCATTTACCCTTAATCTACTTTTCGTCACTGAGGAGTGTACTTACACGTAGGCTAAACGTAACTTTAAACAGACACACGAAACATCTTAACCACCACTGCCGTGTGTTACGTCTGTTATCATGCACACCTGTTGATCTTTAAACCTTTAAATAAATTAAGGTGCGCGAGAGACCGATGCTTTGCCAGGTTAGGCATGTTGTCCCCTTCTGTACCAACATTTGTATACTTTGGCTGTTGGGTCTGCAGGGTCACCCTTTTCATCCGTTTTAGAACCAAAAGTACGCCATATCTCACTCCTGCAATCCTGCTTATCAGCGAGAGGCGGGCAGTGGGAAACAGCGGCTCCCATCTCCCATCTGTGTAGCTTCTCTGTCCCATTTTGAAGTGTTCCTTAAAATTCAGCCTAGAAATGTGTTCCATTCCCGGACCATTGGGTGGATCCTTCACAGCCCAGCCTATCCCAAGATTCATCAGAAGATTTTTAGAAGGACCCAGCTTGCAAAGGCTACGTATACAGAGTATACCGCGTCATACAGAGGATGCAGACCCCCAAATTAGGACACAGTTTGTTTCTCTCCTCAAAGCACAGACTCGAAGCGTTAACTATGTGACGAAACTTCTGAAAGTGTTTTTTGAGGTGTACAATAGAGATGTACAGCACATTTTAATCAAATATCAAAATTTACAAAATGATAGAATTGTACTGTTTTAAATATCTGGTTTTGCAATATGAGCCTGACATTCAGAAAAGCGTTCCTCCTCACACATTCAGAAGATACCGGACTTGAATCCCAAATCCAGGAAGTACAGGGCAATCCGGCTGCTTCTTAGCCATCACCCAACATGCTAAAATAAGTACTATAGCTTCTACACATGAGTACTTATATAAACAAATGTCTTCAAATGACTACTTTTTAAAATAAAAACACTTCCACTCTCCTAAGTTAGAAAGACACATCAGTATTTCACTATAAAGGCAGAAGACTACTGCCTTTAATCCGTATAATCAGCGCTTAGATACCTGCTAGTCATCCCCAAACTTCAGAAGGCTGAGGAAACTTACTGGGTCCCGAACAATCAAAAGTTAATTAGGAAGAAAACGTGAACTACTTTGGGTTGCTTTTCCCTCGCTGATAAGTGGCAAAGCGTCTAAAACTTTTCCCCAGTTAGTTCTTTATCTGTGTATTGAGCTTATGTCTATTTACATATCAAATAAACTTCACACACCTGTGGAGTAACCGCTCATCTCTAATTCCCCACATGACTGCCTGGGACTCCAGTCCCTGACACGTGTCCCACCTGCCGCTGACGCATTAGAGGATTAAGCAGATAGGGTAGGATGCCAGCTAGGCTCTTTGATGGGATCCTTCTCCCCAGACAGAGCGGCGCGAGAGAGCCATCTTTGCGCCTGTGGGATGCGTTAATTAATCCATTCTTTCTGCTGTTACGGAAGAATCGTCCTGGATGGGCATGGGACTAAGAGCAGATCCTGACCTGAATGTCATTTTAACCTGAAAACTGTCTTCAGATGGTGCCCTGGCCTCTCCATAGTAACCTTTCTTTTGTGTCTTACCAATCTAATCATCGCAAGAAATGAACATTTTTATTTCACCTACAGTTTTGATCTCATTTCAGATTATCAATTTAATATTTTTAACTGTAGACTTCAAAATCTTCCAAGAAAGACTAAACACATATTGGTATCATTGTTTCCTTTTTTTATTGACAGCTTAAAACAAATAAATACCTAAGATAAATAAGACAAGATAAAAGCTGGCTAATTTCCCATTTAGCACCGGGACTCGAGCTTGCCACCTCTCTTTGTATTAGCATGTGGATGCTAAGCTCTTTATCATGCTGGTGATAAGAGGTTCAATTACAATGCAAATTGCAGTGAGGGTTATTGGCCTTTACATCCAATCAGTGACATTTTAGGGGTCCAGACCTGTCCAACTTATCCAGTGCTTTCTGGGTGGAGTTAAGCTAATGTTCTCTGGAATTAGTTTTAACGGAATGTTTTATTACTTATATAGTTTGTTAAAATACTCATATGTATCTAGTACATTGTACTCACATGACAATAAAGCTTTAATTTTTAAAATTTAATTTAAAAATATATGTACAATGTCCCTCCCCCCACCCATAATATGCCAGAATTCCCCAATAATGTGTTTTTATGCACAAATGGTTACTTATCTTTAATAGCATTGATAAATTAATAAAACTTCCGTGTTTAATGAAATGAAAAGCATTGGAATGAAATGAAATGAATTCACTCCGGCTCTCCGTCACACAGCACTGGGACATCTGAGGAAGAGCGAGGTGATCAGACTGCATTGGCAAATACTCATAAATGACTTTCAAACAAACCCTTTGTTTTATGTTGGGGGTTAATGACTCATACACTGCTAATGCTGTGTTCATACTAACAACTGCAGTAAAGGTATCTGCCTATGAAGGGATTTAATCTTCACTGACAGCATTAGGTAACGTATGACTGGCCTCGTTCTCTGGGTACAGACACACCTCGTGTACAGAAAAACGTTGCTTTGGCTGTCACACATGCACAGCAGTAACACTGTCATATTTAAAACTAATGAAAGCCTCCAATGTTTTAATAGCATACGCTGCCACTCACGGTGTTTTTGAGCACCTTGTATTTTAGCCTTTTTTGGATGAACTGAGCGATGTGCTCACTGTAAATGCTGTGTTTGAGGAAGATGGACGATGAAGGGAAGCAAAAAGTGACGACATGGGTGCAAAATCACCTGACCTTAACGCCAGTGAGGTCATTTGGGATGAAATGGATATAAAAGGAAGTGGCGTAGCTGCTGCAAGCGTTCAAGGCTGGGGGGTTTGGAGCTCTGTGTGTGTGGGGGGGTTTGCGTAGCATGCAAATTCCAATCCAAAGATATGCAGTTAAGGCTATTTGGTGTCTCTAAATTGGTGTGTGTGTGTTTGTGTGTGTGTGTCCAAATGTCCCCCACAGTGTGATAAAAACCATTTTTCAGGTCTCCACAATGATCTGTGAATGCAATTAAAAATTCCAAAAGTTTCATATTTTGTTTGATTGCCTGTGGTTAAGCTTAGGGCTGGGTGGGGGTTAACAGAATGGCTGAAATGTGTTCATCTGTAATCAATGTGCCTGTTAATTGTCACTCTATCCTTCTTTCCTTTTATTGCAGAAGTGTCACTAAACTGTAATAAAACATGAGTGATCAACAACATTAACTGGCAGAGTCTCCACAGAGTCACTCCATTCCCCTTTCATGGGTAAAGCTCTGATTATTTTTCATGTCAGTGTATCCTAGTGGAAATACGGACCTTTTTCCTTCACTGTAGGTATTCATTAGCATTAGCGGAAGGAAAATAACAAGAACATAAGTCCACCTGTGGGGCTTCATAGCAGGACCATTCAGTGCAGACATTTTAGCATTTTTAGTAGCAATAATAGTAACGGTTCCTTTATTAATCCATGTGGGGAAACTGACTGGTTTTTGCATATCCTGCCACTATGAGACATGCAGGTAGAATTTAGTGATCAGTGTTGACACAGCACAGCACACAACAACGAAGTGTGTCCTCTGCATTCAACCCATATGTGACGTCATGACATAGCAGGGGGCAGCTAATTCAGCACCCGAGAAGCAGTGTTTGGGGGTGTTACCTTGCCCACGGTACCTCAGTGGTGCCTTGCTGGTCGGGGACTCGAACCTGCAATCTTTCAATTAAAAGTGCACATCCCTAACCATTAAGCCACTACTGCCCACCATATATATATATAAACATTTTCCCAGTATAATTAATATAGAGGGATTTGCTTTTGTGTGTTTGGCAGAGGACAATTCTTTAATTTGTTTGTGCTTTTAAACAAGGCTGTTTTTCATAAATAACTAAGTTCATGCTTCGTGAAAATGTGTATGGATTGTGTGACAATGCCAGACATAGCAGGGGTGTCTTGGCTGCCTGTTACGTCCTAGTGGTATTTTAGGGGGTTGCAGGGTGCTAGTTAACAGTCCCAAGATATAACGGGAAATTCACTCAAGATACTTATACGTACGTCTCGTTATATGTACGTCCCCTGTCCACAATCTGCAGTTAGGCAACAGTGCATTTCACTGCACATTGTACATAGCATTCACTGTGCATGTGACAAATACAGCTTTGAACTCCAACAATGTCAAAAATCAATTTATTTTGTACTTAAATAAAACAAATAAAATAAAATGCCAAAATAGTTGAGACAATTACTTACATTACTTGAATACAAATTAAATAATTAAAATATTTACATGTGAAGAATCAGTATGAAATATATTATTTTAATAAATTAGATACAGTGACTCAGCACTGGATAAATACTGTACAACTGTAAGTGTTTTAAGAAGTATGAATGAGATACTTGGATGAAGGACTGCATGACGTTCTTGCTTCATATCCAGAGCTCTTGATGAAATCTTTGGCAGCCAAAGTCTCTGTTGTAAATCTGCAAGAACAGAAAAAAAAAACTGTTGTTAAATATATGGCAGAAAAAAAAAGATGTATTTGAAAGGGCAAAATGCAGGGTGTGAATTAAAATGCAGTGATTCATTTTTAAACAGTGTTAGAAAAGATGGAGTCACATTTACCTGATAGTCCTGTGTGGAGTGTCGGTACTCTGGCGACTCCAACAGCGACTCCAGGCTGGAGTTAAAGATGTCTTCCTGTACAGTCAGTTCCAGGCTCCCGCTCAGCTGATCAGGCTCCATTTCTGCGGCTGGGGAGGCCAGGACCGGGCTGTGATACTGCCCCACATGATCCTCCTCACTGTGCCCCCAGTGTCCCCCCAACGAGCTGGACTGGCACAACATCATGAGGTCTGGTGCATGTCGGCACTCCAGGGCTGCGAGATCCTTCTGACGCGAGTGGAGGTTCTCTTCCGTGTGACCCAGCTGGGCCGACAGGTGGTTGATATAGCGGATGGCGAGACGCAGGGTCTCGATTTTGGTCAGGGTCTGTCCGGCGGGGGCCTCAGAGGGGGGCAGGTAGGTCCGGAGGTGGTGCAGCGCCTTGGTCAGGTCCCTCATCCTCAGCTTCTCCTTCTCACTGGCACTCTGCCGCTGCTTGCTGGGGTTCCGACATCGGGTTCTGCCCGCCTTCCTCCTGGCGGGGCCGCTCAGCCTGCTCGGGGCCGGGAACTTGGGTGTCGTGGGCTCTGGTGAGCAGGCAAGCTGATAACCCGTGGGAGAGCCGGTGAAACTGACCTCCAGGCAGCAGTCTGGGGATACAGCTTCTGGGGAGGTGGTGCTGTAGAACTCAGAGTCTGAGCTGGGCCAGAACCACTGGTCCTGGGTGCTGTAGCCGATCTGGGAAGGGGAGTCCATGCTGTCTCTCTGTGTCCGTCTGAGAAATGCAACAAGCTGTGAGAGCCACTCAAACAGGCCTGTTTTTATCCAGGACCGGGAGGTGTGAAGTGACACCTCAGCGGTGCCCCCTCCCCAGCTGTGGAGACCCTGAAGATTCTTTCTCCATGCCTGGGAAAATGGAAAAACCTCTGACCACAGGAACAAGTGTGAATTTTTACTCCTGGGCAAAACAGCAAGCATTTTCCCAGCCCGGTCTTGATGCGCCTGCTGTTTCCACCAGGCAGCAGATATGTCTGCTATCATTTCATTTATTCCGGAGATGCAATATTAAACACTCAGTAGAAATGGCTCCAAACCTATTGCTAACAGAAATTATTTTTTTGCTGCTAAAAAAAGGTAAATGTCCCAATTACCAAAGCTTCATGACAACACAGTGTATTTCATACTTTTTAAAGGTTTAAAAATTCATCTTTTTGTTTATTTATAGTGATCCTAATACCAAAGGTGTATGTTTGGTGCAATCTCTTTATAAGTAGCTTTCTTAGCAAATGCCTGCTGGTTGCAGGTTCTTACCCCCATCTCTCTCCTCTCATGTTCAGCCAGTGCTGGTCTGGGGTTTCCTTGGCTGATATGCTTAGGTGAAATGGCCTCTTTAAGTTGTCCTCTGTGTGTGAGTGATTGAGGGTGTTCCCTGTGCCTAGAGTGTCCCTGTGCCTAGAGTGTCCTCTTCCTCATGGCCTGTCCATGCTGTGATAGACTACAGGCTCACATCTATCTATCTATCTATCTATCTATCTATCTATCTATCTATCTATCTATCTATCTATCTATCTATATCTATCTATCTATCTATCTATCTATCTATCTATCTATCTATCTATCTATCTATCTACCTATCTATCTATCTATCTATATCTATCTATCTATCTATCTATCTATCTATCTATCTATCTA